GAATGTGTATGCGTCTATATACGAGCGCTGGTGCTCTGATGGCAGACAGTATGGTAGGCCTTCGCTGTGTGTTTAGTGTGTGTCTATGCGTTAGCACTGATGCTCTGTTTATAGACAGCGTGGTAGGCGTTTCGCAGCAGGACGTAGGGGAAGCAGGACTCCAGCAGGTCCATGGTCAGGAAGGGAGACTCCTGCACAATCTGAAACACAGAGGATAACACAGGTTAGACAATATTAATACTGGAACTCTTCTACTCTCACTCCCACTGCATCAATAGCACAACCATAGTGGTTCCTTCCTCCATCTCGATATTTAAAGTCTCTTCTAGTCTAGGGTGCTTTTACACCTAACCTGTTTGGTTCAGTTAAAATGAACCCTGCTGCATCAGCCAGGTTAGTGTTAGTGTTTGTTTGGGCGGGTGTGAAAGCTGTCAGTTGAACCCTGATGCAGATCAGGTAACGAGAACCCATGAAAAGGTGGGTGTCCATCTGCTTCCAAGCAGACTCCGGTGCGGTTCATTTAAAGTTCATGAAAGCAAAAGTAGCAATTAGGGATGCAAGATATTTGATTTCTGCAGCTATGCCGATATTTTCCAGCTCATTTTGGCCGACTATATGAACATATATTTTCAACCTATTTACAGAGAATATCAAGTCTCTCCTGTAGTGGAATCAACATATTATTATTTCTACTCTTATTGTGGTGGTGCACTGAGAGAGGCAGAAATTAAATAAATGTACACATCCAAACTGTAAAATTGCAGAATTGTAATAATGTTTCTCTCACCATGTCCAGCAGCAAGTAGACAGATTCTCTGTTACGCGTCGTCATCTTATCCGTCTCCTGGCCGATCTTCAAAAGGCTGGATGAGGCCAGCTGCACAGACAGACACACAGAAACATGTTAGAGAGATTGTCTTCATAGAGAAGATAGTGTTTGTCTCATTTGCTATCTTTCTATACAAGTTTTGAGTTATTTTCTATAATTTCAGCAAAATAAAATGTGAATATCGGTGCATGTTTCCATTAACTTCCTTTGTGCAAATGTATTAAAGAGTATGTGACAAGATGATTATTGAATGCAGCAGCAATGCCTCTGATACATCATGACATTTTATTACCGCTTGCTGCTGAAGATGGCCTTTGTGTGTTTTTTGAATGGCTTTATTTCTTTTGTTTTATGTATACCTCGTGGTGTTTTTATCAGCTGCTACGGTGACACAGAGCAATAATCTGCCCACTCTGGGGATGTGGTGCTCCAACAACTCTGCCCTTTCTAATAATAATAATAATAATAATAATAATATCAGCATTACAAATAAAGGTGTTACATGTCTCTCCAACCATATCTGAGACATATGAAGCCAAGTTCACCTCAGCCAACTCTTTTTTGTGACATGCCAGCATTGTGTCCTGCAGTTAGGTACGAGATAAACAGGATCTAAAATGACTCAAATCATTTGTTGGTGACAAAATATTAAAAACTAAAATGAGATCTTTTGATCTTACAGCCAGAAACTCTTTCAGGCGGTCCTCTATGCTCCCCTTGTGGATGGTGAAGAGAGCAGCAGCGATCTGGTTGATAGCTTTGGCCAGGCAGTGGATGTTGTTGCAGTGGCCTGTAGGGGGCAGCAAACACACGTTATTAGTAAGAGAACATGAGGACATCATCTGTAATTGGAAATCAATTAACTCTGATTTGATTTCTGACATGTGCCTCTTTAAGACTCTCACGGCAGAGGAATTCTCCCAAATGCGAAACCTCCAGCGGGTAAAGTATGGATTTCATTTTTGTGTTTCATACCGCCATTACGTGTGTGAGATGCATAAAGAGTATGTGAATGTAAAACACCAGTGTGTAATTTCAAGTTCACAAAATGGTTGGTGTGCCTGCGCTGGCGCCTTGTATTGAGATGTGCTGTCGGAAAACCAATTGCTGGTCAGTATGCAGTCTGCATACTAACAATGGTGGAGCCCATTACAACTCATTATCCTTTTCAAATGTCCCTTATTAACAATGGCGGCTTTCATTTCAAGGTTGTTAGGAAGCAATGTCTTGATAATTCATCCTTGAGTGAAAAGTCTCTTTGATACCTTATCAAAAGGTTCATTTAACTACAAGAGTGTCTCTATTGCACTAAATATCAGGTTTATTTAACTGAATGAATCTTTCAACTGAAATAAATACAACAAATAAGGTTAAACAGGTCACACTGAGTAAACTGACCTTTAAAAACTTATTAATCATTTTAAAAGTGTACATAATGAAGATGATGATGTGGCTCTAGTGCACGGGAATGAATCAATCTGAGGGCACAAGGTCCATTTCATTTGCATGCAGAACAGTCTCACACCACTGATGCAGTAAATTATGTTTCCTATAATGTGGAGCATTTTCTTCTGAACTGCTCTCAGGCTCTGAGCTGGTTCTCTGCCACAACATAAGGCTTGTTATTGCCATTATTTATTCAAATAAAAAATTATTACAAGTTAACGTTGGGGGGAAATGGGGCAAGAAAAAACAATTATGGAAAATTAGTTTATACCGTTTGTAGCACAAACATACTGTAGTTTGACTGTGTATTATAAATTTGTGTTGTCTAACTATCTACAGCATACAGTTGTCAGCAGCTCTGTTGTGTTTCCCCCATTTTTGTTTCAAAAAATAAGGACAAACAACAACCCGGATTTGTTCAGTTTAAAGTGACTTTCACCCACATTTTGAAAACCAAATACAATACAGTAGCATGGTGTCATACCTTCAATGGCAGGGCTGTACTGTGACATCACGTTGCTAGCCAGCGTTGGCAAGGAAACTGCCACAAACACCATCAGCAGACAGGCGATCTTATATTCCTCCTCTGGGCTGATGTTCTCTGCACAGACAGAAGCTCATTTCAGTCATGAATACGTAACATCGCTGGCTTCATCTATCTGTTAAAGTGATGGGTTTTATCACTCAGACAGAGCTGACTTTTACATTGGCTATATTCAGTTTACAGAATGAGCAGAGAAAGAGAAAAGAACAGCGGTGAGTTAAAACAAGTATTGATAGTGAGGAAAAAGAAGGGTTTCTGATCCCTCACAGCCTGTTTTTAGAATATCCAACAGGAAGTTAAGTTGTGACTGTTCCTATTTGCTTACATGCTGTATGTAAAGTGTTGTGCTGAATATTCATTCATTCATCCACGCAGGTGGCACAAATGAACACTGTTGGTCAGCTTATTATAGTAATAGTTTTTATAGACTCCTTAAAGGCTTAAAATGGGTTTAAAATCCATTCACAGTGTTTCCCATTTCATCATTTCCTATTTTGATAATTTATTACAGTGATCTTTGAAGGCGATACAAGATGTATATTTAATCTCTCCCTATGTGCATGTTTTCAGCAGCCTTTAAGTTATTCCGACGGCATTCAATTCAGACTTTCACTGTGTTGTCAAATGGAAATGTTACCAGGGCCGACTTGTTAAGATTGCTGTTGTGATTGCTGTCAGATTAGCTTAACGGTCTTAAAGGGGCTACAGACACACAGAGGGTCATTAGTAGATGGGATGTGTGGAAGCTGGATTCAGTTTGCATTTGTGTGTGTGTGTGTCTCACCACTTTTTTGTGAGGACAGAGCCACTACCAGAGCTGGGTCGATTTCACAGGGTAAACCTGCTGCTGACGACAGCTCGTAGACATTCATGGCCACCTGGAAACACACAAATATTGTGTACACATGAGGAAACATTGACATCAAGTTAAGAGGTTATTTTATTGTTATTTTAAAGTGTGTTTTACCTTCATGTCTGTCTCTCTTGGAATGTGGTCCTTGAAATCCTCTACTGAACTGACCAGGAACGGAATATGACAGGATAACACCTGGAGAGAGCGAGACAGGGGCCGTGCAGTAAGAAAGTGATGCAGCATCAATGCTCGGCAAGAAATATTTAGAAAATGGGACATTTATGGTGCCCATATGTTTGGTTCGGTTAAAATGAATCCTGGTCCATTCGCCTGGTTAGTATAGTTTGTTTGTGCTGGTATGAAACCTGTTAATCGAACCCTGGCGCAGACCAAACAACCAGATCAAGACCTTTAGAAAACGAGGGTCTCTTTCTAATTAGACGGTTCGATCTCTGTGGGGTGTGAAAGCAAAAGGACCAGCCACAGTATATTTTGATAGTAGACGTGATTTTAGCATGATTTCAATATAAACTACAATTAGATCCATTAACTGATCGTGAACTGTTCAGGAGTTAAACCTTATGATCGATGTGTATGAGCAAATTATGTTTATGTGAATCATTTGACAGTAAGTGTGTTAAAAAGTGTGTGACACAGCAACCCCACAATATTCCTGTCTCTACTTGTTGTCATTATTCGTAACATGCGGCCTATTTGCAGTCTAATAATGCTTACAATCAGCTATGTCTTGGTGAGTTCACCAGAGAACGTAAATTTACTTTTCAATTGTATTAATTGATTGCAATAATGTGGTGTGTGTGTGTGTGTGTGTGTGTGTGTCTTACATCTCTCAGAGCCTCCTGAGCCAGGGAGCGGAAGGACAGGATGACTCCAATGATGGTCATTCTCTTCAACACACTGTCCACAGCTGCATAAACAGGAAAAGAGAAGTCAATTAAGGTCAGTCTGACACACTGGTTGGTATATATATCACACTAATCAATTTTAATGTAGTAGTTCACCAGTTGAGAAAATATAATTAATTTACTTGTTGTGCTGAGTGTCTGTATTGATTTTAAATTGCCTTTCAGTCAAGTTTGCGTATCCACTATTAATATTGTTACAAGTTTACAACTAGTGTTAACAGATCTGTAAAAATACAAAATATGGACATGGGAAGCTTTACACATGAAACAAGACAGCACACATTCAGCAGTATTTAAAGCAATCTACTAAGCAAGTATGTGTGTGTGTGTGTAATTACAGGTGAGTTTCTTGAAGAGGGCGGCCATGTGGTCTGGTTTGTCAAAGCTCGTCCTCATCTGGGTCAACACCTCCATGTTTTCTACCACCAGTTTCTACAAGGAAACACACGCAAACAGTCAGCATTAAATCGAACTGTGACTTCCTGTTTATACAGTAGGATTATGCTTTTCATTTCTTTTCTTTTTATATATTTTCAACTTAGTGTTGAGACCCATTATTTGTTACTTTTATTCCAATACACTGTAGTTGTTATAGTTGTTGTTTATAAATTGATATAAAACATGTATATGTACACATTTTACATATTGAAGTTAAATTAAACTACTATAATATATATATGTAATCAAAGCTCATACGATTAATTAAGTGGATGAAAACCTACGAATTGAAACTATTTTGATAATTGTTTAAGACATTTTTCACTTTCACAAAAACATTTTATGATTCTAGTTTCACAAATGTGAAGATTTTCTGCTTTTTCAATACATCTGAATTTATTTTTAATAATTTTGAGGTTTGGCCTATTTGTTGGATAAAAACAAGCATTGTGAATTTATCATAACTATGATAATTAACTGATTAATTCATAATGAAAAATAACCATTAGTTCTAAATGAACTCTACCCACTACAACAGGACAATCCTGCTTTTACATGAATGCAATAATAAGGCTTTTACTGAGTGTGGCATTAATACTGTAAGTTAAATTATCTGAATACGTCCTCCACTACTGCTGGAAAGTAGTTCCTGCGATAAAAGGTAACATTTTATTCTGTATGTACAGTATGTGACTGCATGTGTATACCTTCAGCTCAGCAACCTGTGATGAGATGTGCCACATCAGACTCTCACTGAGGAACTTCATCCCGTAAGGACCCAACAGCTCAGACAGAGAACGCATCTCTGTGAAATCACACAATAAAAAAAATTACGAATACAACTCAACAGCAGAAAATATGTCAATAACAACCGCAGTGAATATTCAGCAATATTAAGTACACACAGTTTGTGTGAATGTGTGTGTACGTACCAGAGATGTCAGAGTACTCCTCAGCATTGAAAGTCAGTTCGTTCTCTGTGGGGAGGTTGACAAAGGCCTTCATGGCGGGGAAGTAGGCGATGTGTCCATTGCTGACCTGACGGAGCAACGTTTCCAGATACCTATACGCACACACACACACACAAAATACTTTCTTACTTTGGGTTACATGTTATAGTCTTCCTTCAATTAGGACCATCACCATTTCTCAATTCTAAAACCACAAGGGAATTTCATGAATAAATCTGTAATTATAATAAAATAAATTAATAAATGGGATTTTAATCCATCAGTAGGGGGTTTCTGTGCCAACAGCAACTCCCATCTTTAGAACACTAAGCTCTGTGAATGGCCGATTAATACAATGATCAACCAATTTCAATTGTTTTTGTTTGTTTGTTTTTAATTATTACTGAGAAGAGGAAGCACTGTAACTTACTCTCCTGAACTTATCCCCCAAATCAAAGAGAGAAAAAAACAACATCCAAAAACATACAGTCATGAACTTCAATAAAAATTAAAAAACAACAATTCTTCAACTTCTGTCCCAAATAAACAAAGTCTGGCATTCTGTTGTTGTTGTTGTTGTTCCTGCAACAATAATCCTTCTGCACAGCACTAAACTACTAAGAGGAAATTGATTTATTAGAGGCTTTAATAAAAGAGTTTCATTCTGTCAACACAAGCTCTAAAGAAGCAATGTTTGAGAGAGAGTCAACAGTATTAGATTAAAATAATAACTTTATACGGACACAGCCTGGACAAATACAACACACAATCCAAAGTATGTTTTTAGGAAATGGCTCTTACGTCCTCCAAGTGGAAATTACACCATGGCTCTGATACTTTATCATTGCAATCATAATGTTTTTGAAGATACTTTTGCTTTGGATTATTGGATATTGTTAAAGTCACAGGAGCCAGGCTAACATACCAGTTTGTGTACAGACTGGTGATGGTGGGTTCCCCGTGGCTGTCCAGGTGCTGCGTCTGCTGCAGGAGGACGTTGTTGAACACCCGGGTGATGTCGATGGTCACGTAGTTTTCTATGGACTGAAGCACTGTCATGTAGGCCCGGACGCTGGTCAGCAGCTCGCTGGGCTTGGCTATCTCCTGAGTAGCCTGGTTGTACATGGTCATCCCCACTATGGACCTGGAGACAGAGGGAGTTAGACAGTCAAGAGGTTTATAAAAAAAATAAAAATAAATAAAAACATACTTTTTTAAGAGCACTTTTAAAACCTCACAAACTCATCAACATGTAAGTCCCAACAACCCAACAACATGCAGAGGAAAGATTTGATACAAATGCACACAGTCAGACACTGAATCACAACCCACTTCTCTGCACTCTCTTGGCATTAACAAGAGAAAAACTAAACTCTCCCCGTTTGTTAGTGTTGTAAATCTCTTGTAGATGCCCTCATTTAAGCTTTTATTTCCTTTCCAATCACTTATATACAACATGCACAATCAATCTGCTTTTAAAAGATGTTTAAAGCACTGACTGTGACCTTTGCACTACCTACTGTACTGTAATGATGTTGATCTAGAAAATCTCTTTTTATTGAGAGCTGTCTAGCAGTTAATCAGTTTAAAATAAAAAAGATTTTTCTCAACAAAAAAAAAACACAAAAGAGAAGTTTTGTATCTGAGTAAAAATAAGACATAAAGGCAAGTCTTTGTGTTTTATGTGCGCGCTTATGTTTACTTGGTAAATCGGATCTCCAGGTGCGAGGTGAGGTACTCTCTCGGTGTGAATGTGTGCTCCCAGACCGCCAGGTTGGGAACGTAGTTGATGGAGAAGCAGAGTTCAGATAATGCTGTGTGGAGCTTATCCAGGCTAGGGGGAAAAAAAAGAAAACAAGGTCAAAATGGACTGATGAAAAAATTATGAAACTTTTAATAATCTGTGTGGGCAAGCTGGGTCTTACAGCAACACAATACGGTCACGAAAAAAAAAACAGTAGAACCTAATGAAAACACTAAAAATGGAATAGATTATGTAAGTGACAATGTTAGAACCTCCACTACTTGAAAAGAAACCACTGACACAACACTGTGTACAAAATAATAACAGCATGATTGACCAATACTTTGAGCTGTTTGTAAGAGAATCATTACTACTGCATGAAAAATGATGGATGCTTAATGGTGCTGGTGGGAACTCAGTCAAACAAATAATAAAAACGATTAATAATTCTGACAGAATTTATAGTAATGTCTTAATAACAGAAGCATGAAGAGACACAACAAACAGAAAGAGGAGACAGGAGAGTGAGTGGCTTGCTTGCTTCTACCAACGTCATGGAAAGAATTAAGAAAAGTTTATTCAACTAACTTGGTGACCAGTAGTCTGTTCTTCCTCATGCTCTCCACTCCTGGTTTCTCTCTCTCCGGCTCTCCCTTCTTCCCCGTCGCCTTCTTGCTCTTCTTGTTCACGGCCTGGCTGATGGTTTTCGCACAGTGCTTAGGAAGCAGCTAGGAGACAGGAAAGTGGAAGAAAAGAGACAGACGGCACAGAGGCAAAGAAAGAGAAAGGCAGGGATAAAGAAGAGATTGAGAGAAGGAAAGACAGATGGGAAGAGACTGATTATCCATGGCCTGGCTGATGTTCTTAAAAGTAAGACGCGATATAGAAGAATTTAAAAAGCTTTCAACGACATGCATCAACAAAGGACTCACAACATTAATGTGACAGCATTTATTATTATGCAACGGGTAGAAGTGGCCATGTGTTTCTGACTTGCTTTTCTGTCAAACCTTGTGATATTAAAAAGTTTCTTAGAGTAAGAAAACTTTTAGGACTTTCACTGTGCATCAGCACAACCTTTAAGTTTGCTCTTCTTTGTGACAACTGCTACATTGTTTGAAATATTATATACGTTTATATAGCAGCTGCTTCCAATTATGACTTAGCCAAACAAGCATTATTTTGGATGAATTTAACTGCCAAAACATCAGGACATCTAATACCTGATGTCACTCAACTTCAAGTTATCACAGACTGGCGACATTAACAATTCAGAGCAAGTGTTCACTCTTATAGGAACAGATTGACCTTTTGGGAAATTCACTTCGCTTTTCGCTTTCTGGTGGAGACTTGCATAAGAAGATCAATGCCACTCTCAGATCTGATCAATAGCACTCTCTGAATCTTTCTAGGTTGGGACCAGTAACTTAACGGAGTGTCCACTGGTTTCCTGGCAACTGCTCAGAGCCAGGA